TATCATGAATAATAAATAGATGAGTGATTTTAATTGGTGAGAAATTATTTTTTTGTCAAATATTCTATAATAGCATCATTGTTTTCAAATGCTTTTTCTCGAAAACCGTTCATAGAAGATGTTCAAGTCAAGGAAGTGAACTTCATGTTCGAGAAAATTAGAGTAGAGGTTTTCTTAAATGGAAATTAGGGCATGAAGTTCGTGCACAGGTTTTGTGAGCTATTAGCCAACAGAAAATAGTGCAACTGTTATTTTGTTTGTGTTACCATTCAATACAATTCTCTTTCAGGGTGTGGATATTCATCTTTTATTTTCTCACACCCACACATTTAGAATATCAAATTCTCTCTTGATTGATGCCAAACACTTTCAATTTAGATTAGAACCTAATGGTACAGAAACTCACATTAATCAGCTGATGTTCAACGAAATTATCGAAGATTGCAGTTGACCTATTGAATACCCGCTAGTCGTCTCATTCTGTCAGCGATAAGAGGATGTGGGTAAAAACAAGATTCACACCCAATATTGTTCATGATGAACATAAAAACAAATCTTTTAAAAACAAACGACCAAGAGACAGTAGACTATTCATGATTTCTGGTAAAGATATCAGACTTAAAGAAAAGATCAATGATTAGGGAAGGAGAATGATTCAAAACAACAAATGTTGATGCAGTACTATATAGAAAAACTGTCAAGTGTGTTCAGTTGAAGGCCACAATACAGACAATTCCCATTACAGACAGCACCCATTACGGACCTAGAAAACCAGGATTAAATAATGGATATATATAACAGCCTTTGTTTCCTATTTAATTTAATACTCACAATAATGAAAATGTGAAAACAACGAACGAATGGCAACAATGTGAACGAAAAATAGAGCGCCCGTTAGAGAAAGAAAATAAAAAAAATTTGATTTTATGCATTCTGTATATTGTATTAGTATAATGAAGCTAAAGGTAATACGTAAGTTCCACATTTCAGTCTCAGTGGAGGTACGATATGCTCGCTTAGTTAAAATTTGATGTTTCATTTTTAATTCATGAATTTTATTCGGTGGTGTTTTTTCGAATTTGTTCATTTTACAGAAGCAACTCATGCATTACTTAAAAAACGATGAATTTAAATTTGAAGAAGATCAAGAATATATTTCATCAAGCAATGGTTGAATTTTTTTTTCTGGATTATTATTTTTTAAATAATATATTTTATTTTATTGGAAAACGGCATTTAAGTCATCGAATAACACGAAAACCACCACAAATGACATTAACAACTACTGTAACAGTTGCTGTTGCGCAAGAAGTTTTACTTTCTGTTCCTTTAAATGATTATAATAATATTTCAAATCAATCTGAAATAGCAGTAAGTTAATTTTGATGATTAAAGAAAAACAAATAAAAGTTTAATTTGTTAAAGATGGTAACAAGTCCATTATCAGAAGAAGTTGTACAAACCCGACGAACAACAGTATCAGAAGAAGAAGCACCAAAAGATGTAGAAAATATTGAAAATGTTAATGAAACAACATTGGAAAATGAAGAAAAAGAATTAGCTTATGGCATTTAATATTTTAACATTAAAATATAAAGATAGTCGATTAGGAAGAAGGCTTTTCCGCGCATATTGGTCCACATTCATTATTAATTGTCGAAGTTTTATTTCTTTTTTTCCAATAAAACTTCGCTCATCAACAATCATGGGAATAATCGTTGGCGTAAAATTATTTTTAATATTGATTTTGATTCGTTTTTATCCTACTCTTAATTGCTGGATTTTAAAACATTTTAGAACTTCTTTTTATCTTTTGTCTTCTTTGATTATTATTTTAATTCAATATTCTAATTATTATCCTACGAGTGTACCAGCTTTTGCTCTTTTTATCTCAATTTATCTTTCTTTGATTATTTTCAAACAATCAATTACAAGTTTGCTGCAAACAAAAAAAAAATATCAACAAATTTATAATTGTTTTTTTTTTTTCATTTAGAATCCATAATTGTCGATATAAGTATTTGTACAATAATTTGATTAATAGTTTTATATGGAGTAAGTCGTCAAGTAGAAATAACTCATCGTATTCAACACCATGTTGTTCATAAATCATCTGAACAAAGAATTGAAATAGAAAAGAAACGTGATCGTGCTGATTGGCTTTTGAGAAATATTTTACCTGAACATGTTATAGAACCATTACGTCAATTAGGTGGTTCATACCCTCGTAATCGTTTATGTGTTGGAGTTGTTTCTTTTTGCATCATTCATTAATTTCCATGTTATGCATGAAGAACAATACGAAGGTGGAAATTTTAATGCGCGAATTTTAAATGAATTTTATGGAGATATTGAAGAATTATTTCTTCATTCAATATTTTCTAAAATTGAAAAAAAATTAAAACTATTGGAACCATATTTATGGTTGCATCAGGTTTACAAATAGATTCAAATAATCAAAATCCACTTGAAAAAAAAAACAGGTTTTTAACATTAAATGTTATTTCTAGAATTAGTTTGTGATCTTATTAAATTTGTATTAGTATTTTAATCAATAATTCATAAATTTAATGAAGGACTTTTAAATTTTGCATTTCAAATTCCAATGGGTTTAAGTTTTTGGTCCATAACAGCCGGTGTTATTGATACAACGAAATTATTTTGTAATATATGAGATGATACTGTTAATGTTGCTTCAAGAATGGATTCAACTGGTCTACAAGGACAAATTCAAGTTCCAGAACATGTTGCTTTAGCTTTAAAAAATAAATATAAAATTGAATTTCGTGGAGAAATTGATCTTAAAGGAAAAAGTCGTACCACAATTTATTTTAAATTTAGAATAGACTAGAGTTTTTTTTGTCTTTATTTTAAAACTAAAAAAATTTCTATGGACTAATATAATCAATAAAATTTATTGAGAAAATCTAAAGAATAATGATCAGGCGAATATAACTCAAGGAAGGGATGATTAATCAAGAAACATTCGAACATGATTTAGATAATTTTGTTTTAGGTAAAAAATGATTGGTTTTGATGGTGCAAACACAACGGAAAAAAATTTATTCTTTTGAAATAATATTTTTTGACATTGTAAGTTGCCAAGAAGAACCTAGAAGCTGGAATTCACTTGTACCTGCCTGTCTGCAACATAGTTACCATATGGAACTATATTACAAATGCCTATTAAGATGACTAAAAAGCGCATCTACACATTATAGTTTAGATTAACCGAAGGAGTAAATCTTTAAAAGTTACAATCAATAGTTTGATTAATTGTTCAATGATTCATACGTGAGAATGTGATCTAACAATTATGTAGAAATAGTGAATGATTTTAGCATATGATTATGATTAAGACAACTCACATTTGATGACTACTGTGATTTATATTTCTTAAGTGAAAATATCATTAAAATAATGATTAAAAATTCGTATTGTTGTCTAATTCTATACGTACTATTTTCACTTTAAAAAGTTTTCATGACAAAAACGATAAATCCGTAAATTGATCGGCTTTAATGACAATTTTCGAATTTAATTTCTATGATCGCTCACGATGTATTTATCATATTATTAATTATTAATTTTATTAGTATACTCCTTTCATTAAACATTAATATCGATATTTTATCATGCAACTATATCCGTATATCGAATACTTTCTAATCCTGTAGTCTAGAATCAAGTAAATCGTCACATGATGAACGTTAATTGCAAATACGTATAGAAAAAAGAAAGAAATGAATATAGAAGAGAATAAGAGAGTGATATGATTATTGGTACAATAGGTCAACATATGTTGAGACTCACATTTATCTTGGTGGTATTGACCTTGATAAGGTTATTCTTCTTTTAATTTCTTCTTCGTATTATTCTCATATAGGATATGCATTTCTCAATGCATTCATATATACATAAAACAATGTATTCTTTACTATTTCTAAGGAAATATAACAAGAAAAGAGAAAAAAATATTGTTGTATTCACTTTTTTCAATGTTCATTCATTCTTCACTCTATTGTTCACAAACCAAGTTATCATCTTTTTCTTCTGCCGTATATTGTCGAAATAATTTATTCTTATGGAAAGAAGTTCTTCAAATAATCTTACCAATGTGAGTAAAGATAAGATCATCGTGCACTCATGTTCAAACACATATATATATAGACTTCAATTTTGTGGCGGATATGCTTCTTTCTAGACATTACGTTTTTCTTACGAGGGAACCTCCCCAAGTGATACTCTCGGTTTGGACTCATATTTTGCCTATAAGTATGACTCATGGCGTAGCTAAGAGCCCTAAAATGGTT